TTAAGTTTTTTTGTGTGCCATGGCCTTTAGATTTGTTTTTCTCAGCTACACAGATGCAATAAGTAAGGGCCGTGGCACACAGAAAAACTTATGGCTCCTGCACACAAGACGCGGTAATGCTTGCCGCGCGGCGGGAGTTCGCGCGACAGCCAATCAATATGCTGCTTTTCGTAATAACCTTCCAGCTCTTACGGAAAAACGATATATTGATTGGCTGTCGCGCAGACTTCCGCCGCGCGGCAAGCATTACCGCGTCTTATGTGCAAAAGCCATTAGTTGTACTACTTGAAAATAAGTGGTCTGTTCTTTTTAGCTGCACTGCTGAACTAGTGCAATTAGAGGGAAACAAATATAGACGGCGTTCGGAAACATCACTCTCTCACAGAGATGGGTATTATGCACAATTCTGCGCATAATATGCATAAAATATTTACTATGCGCAGAAAACGCGCAGAATATGCAGAAAACCCCTGAGACGTGTCTACTCTAACCTAAAATAATCTTTCTTCTTTCAATATATAGTTCCAGGCAGTTTGCCTTAATACCATTCCACGATTTGAAAAGAGATATTGCGTACCACCGAAACGGTACGACTTTGCCAAAAAATAAATAGTTCGAAAAGGATCCTAGGGACATGTACGTACCCCCAGATGGTCGAACCAAGCCTTCTAAAATAACCTACCCAGCCAGAAATGAAAAGTCGAATCGACGGCGAACCGATTTTTCATTTCTGTCTAGGTACGGTCGAGTTTTTTAATTCAACGATGGATCCATCGGTGAATTAAAAAATTCGCCCTACAATCCTACTCGCTGCTCTTGAATCAGTTTCATTAATATACATATAGATATAAAGAAATAAAAAAATGAAATACAGCGATGAACTAGATTCACAATTTCATGTTTTTCATGATCATGGATAAATATTTATGCTTTGTCTTATACACAAAACACAAGTTATAAAGCCAACCAATTAGAATGTTTTATTCATTGATTACTTTATTCTAATTGGTTGTCATAATCATTTATAACCATTTACGACTACGCTTACACAATTGTAGGATAGCTCTAAAAGAAGTTTTATGTAGCAGAAAACCTCATTTAGTTACCTGCGCAGATTACTCGAGTTTTCTGCACATAAAGCCCATTCTACAATTGCGTAAGCGTAGTCGTGATCGTAAGAGTCAACCAATCCGAATGTTTTATTTACTGATTGCTTTATTCTAATTGGTTGTCGTAATCACATACAACCACTTACAACCACGTTCACGCAATTGTAGAATGGGCTTAAAACTTCACGCATAAGGCTGATATTTCATGTGTCGTACCACAAGTTTTTTGGATACGTTTATTGGTTGACGAAGAGAGAATCTAGAAATATTCTATTCGCCAACCAATATACGTATCCGAAAAGCTTGTCGTACTACACGTGAAATAGCACCTTAATAGGATGTTCGATTGGGGGTGGGACCCGATTGACTACGATACGATTGGACACAGATTGTAATGATTGGTTCGACTTAGTAATTCACTAGATAATTCTTTTCATCGGTTGGTTGTGTCTAATCGTACCGTGGTCAACCGGGACGCTCCCTTCGACTGGCTCTGGGTTAACTCACTTTGAGTTATTCAGCCTAGGTTTATTGGTCGAACAAGTATTTATAAGCTTTATGATTGGCTAGTAGAAACTTATGACGTCAATAATCACTCTGAGAGCGATTAACCCAGGGCCAGTCGAACACGCTATAACTTATTGCACTAGTTCAGCAGTGCAGTTAAAAAGAACAGAGCAATTAGCTACTTTCAGCAGAGAAACTACTACGCTTCCGCTACGTACCCTTATGGCTCCTGCATACAGGACGCGGTAATGCTTGCCGCGCGGCGGAAATCTGCGCGACAGCCAATCAATATGTTATTTTTCCATAAGAGCTAGAAGGTTATTATGGAAAGCGTATTGATTGGCTGTCGCGCGGACTTCCGCTGCGCGGCAAGCATTACCGCGTCCTGTGTGCAGAATCCATTACTGCACCACTGAATAGTAAGAGTGAGACAAGTATATCTCTCTATTTTGCTCTAACTAAAGCTGGTGGCACATAGAAAAACTTAGGGCTATCGCATACAAATTGACATAATTGCATATGCATAGCATAAGACCGTATGTACCAATGAGCATCGAGTATTAAGTCGCCATATTGGTGTTCGAAGCTTAATATTCGATGCTCATTGGTCCATACAATCTTATGCTATGCATATGCAGTTATGTCAATTTGTGTGCGATAGCCCTTAAGCGTCTTCTACAATGGCAGTAGGAGTAGTAGTAAGAAATAAGCAGTAAATAAATAGACCAATCACAATCGATTATTTTTGAAACGTGAGAATGGAATTGGTCAATTTGCTTACTGCTTATTTCTTACTACTACTCCTACTGCCATTGTAGAAGACGCTTTAGGGCCGTGGCACATAGAAAAACTTAAACAGTAAAACGTAAGCAGTAAGCAAATTGACCAATCACAATCGTTGATTCTTCTTACGGTCCAAGAATCAACGACTGTGATTGGCTGATTCACTTACTGCTTACGTCTTACTGTTTAAGTTTTTCTATGTGCCACCAACTTTAGGATGCCATTACATAAAGCGCGGAACCGCGAAAACGCGGAATACAAAATTTTACTAGATCCGCTACGCATTCCACGTCTGTTTTGATTGCCTTGTAACGCTATTTGCGTTCAATGAGGGATATGCTGCGAGTCCGGATTCGTGGCAGTGGTAATAAATTGTGAAGCCAGTAGTATAGGTAATAATATGATATCTATTTTAACTGAAATAGCTATTTACAATGAGTATTTACAGGTGGTCTCGACGCCGTTGGTTTAATGGTCGAATTTTTCTGCTCGCCGTGCGAGTCTGTGATGTTTGCTGCTGACGATTCGGTAACGCCGGGACCGCTGGCAGCCGCGGGACGCGGTCGGTGTTGTGACGCGTCGATCAGAGGGTAGACACTAATATGTATTTTATTTGGACCGTTATGCTGCCATCTGGGCTATTTTGTATTCACCTATAAGTAAAATCGATATTACGTATATCGATATACGTACATCGAATATATATATAACATGTCCCACCACTACTGCATTGGCTGCGTTCAGAAAACATAGCTGATCAGTGAGCGGTCAGTGATTATTGGTCCTTACTGTTAGATCCCTAACTTTAGACCAATTACGTTGATTAATTACTCAACCGTTGTGTAACCGCTGTGTCTCCTGAACGCACCCATTATCTCTCTTAAGGGCAGATTCCTGAGATAATTTGAATAAAAAAATCTTAATGCAAAAATGTTGAGGTTATAATACTTTTGAAATGGTCAACTTTAATCGTTTATAATTTGAAAAATATTATAGCCTCAACATTTTTGCATTAAGATTTTTTTCTTCAAATTACTTCAGGAATCCATCCTTAAGAGATAATGCGATAGTGGTGGGATAGCTATACTTTGTACTTTCTATAATTTTGTATTTTTCATTAATATAAATAAATTAATATAAATAAAGTAGATATAAATATGATTATTGAAGCAAAAAGTATAGATAATTTTATATTGCAATTATATTTTTTATGTTAAAACTGTAAACTGTAAAATGACGATTAAACTGTAAAATGATGAAAACTGTAAAAAAACGATTTTAATTGTTACAAAATAATATATTTCAATATTTAAATAAAATCCTCTTGCTTGTGTTTATTGCTTCAATAATCATATCTATATATAATAGATATTTCCTATGGTATAAAGATAAATAGATTTTATATAAAAAGAAATATATATTTTTTACCATAATTTTTATCATGTTTTCTTTTAATACATATATATACATATATATATATATACATATTTATATATTTTTGTGTTCACGATTCCTTTTCAGTCTTGCTTGATATTTTGCTTGTGCGGAAATAAGAATATGATTTTTCGCTTCTGTACTATATTTTCCATTAAGGCATCTATTGACAGCAGCGCAAAAATTTCTTAGGCAAGTACAAATTACCGCTGAGAATACCGCTGTTCTTAATTTTTCATAATGCTGTTTACATTTAATTGATGTAAATTCGAACTTTGCTTCCAATTCACGTTCAATAATTTTTTTTATGTTCGACTTATATAGTAAAATTTATTTATATATTTTTTCACCATGCTTTCTGCACTTTTCAATTGTTGCTGAAAGTATACATTGTTCATTATAGTTTTTTTTGCATTCAGCACAATGTTGTATGTAAAAAAATCAGTTATAACATTCAGTTGTTATCATACATGTCTTTTATGTGAAATATTAGTTGTGTCATCACATGTTGCATATGTTCCATTACGTCAGACAGTTTAAGTCTTTTGTTTCATTTTTACCTCTATCATTCTACAATAACATTGTAAATTTATATTTTGTCTTTTATACAGTAATATAGATAAATTCAAAATGGATTGGAAATTACAATAAATAGTTTAATATTAACTTCTTCTATGTACGCTGTATCTCATATTTTCTTTATCATGTCCTAGATGCAGTGGTTGCAATGCTATAACATCTGGAGAAAATTTTATGTTGCACGCAGATGTCGAGGCTTGCTGAATGTCTATGTTGTCATGTAATGCAATACATGTTATTACATCTGATATATTCATACTTGGTACAGCATCATATTTTAATTTACATCTATTTAGAGAATAAATGTAGTCTTTCTCGGTAAAGTGTTGATGGCAGACACGTATTTTATATCTTGCAACATTTAAAACGTGTTCCAAGTTTTCCATTTTCAAACTTTTTAACCACAGCAAACATCGACATGGATCTTTCGGTAATTGATGTGCTGGGGTTCGCGTGTTTGACGTGCAACCGGGACAATGCATGCTTGTTTCATATCAACTGAAACACATAATTCTTATTTTGTATGTTTCATATAGATAATTTTTATATATGAAATATTATACAGCTTAAATGTCTACAAAAATCTTAGATATTTGAAAGATATTTATTTCATTTGTCTTTCAAATGCTCCTAAGACATTATAGTCATTTCTGCTGTTTAACCTAGAATTGTGAGCGACTTGTCTCAAATATTATATTGTATTGAAATAATTATCTGGCGATGTAAAACACAATGATGACTTTATTACATTACACATTTTCTGAACACTACTGTAATAATCTTTCCTTTTGCTTACAGAAAATAAAAGAGAATTTACAGAAATAAATCCTGATTTATTTCATTCATCATGCATGATCACGCACTCATCTATATGGCTATTTCATTGTGTTAGTCATGCGCTCATCTATATGATTATTTTGATTGTAGTAGTGTTGACGCTAGTGCTATCTAGCCTATGTAGTATGTGTGGAACTATTCCACGGTCCAAGGTTATATATAAAAGTGTCCGCCCTCTGGCGTCGATTGTCTCGCGCTCGCGGCGAGATGTTTACGCTTGGGTCTTTAATTCCTGTCGCGGCGAGATCCGTTATTCGGCGAGAGCAATAATGCTCTGAATGCGTTATGCGGCTGTGACTCCCGACGAGTCGGAGTTCGTCGGGCGGTCGAACGGTGGTATCATAGGTGACGCGTAGGTCAGTCCTACGGGTCAACGACGCGGTATCGAGGAAGTCGACTCTACGTATCCAACGAGTCGACGGAACGGTAACGAGGAAGTCGATTCTACGTATCCAATGAGTCGACGGAGCGGTGACAAGGATGTAGAGTTTACGTATCCAATAACTCTACGAGGATGTTGACTCTACGAATCCAACGAGTCGACGGAACGGTAACAAGGAAGTCAACTCTACGTATCTACGTATCGACGGAGCGGTAATAAGGATGCAGACTTTACGTATCCAATAAGTCTACGAGGATGTCGACTCTACGTATCCAACGAGTCGACGGAGCAGTACCAAGGATGTAGACTTTACGTATCCAATAAGTCTACGAGGATGTCGACTCTACGTATCCAACGAGTCGACGGAGCAGTACCAAGGATGTAGACTTTACGTATCCAATAAGTCTACGAGGATGTCGACTCTACGAATCCAACGAGTCGATGGAGCGGTATCGACGAGGATCTAGGAGGCGGTGCTTTTGGCAGCGGTATTCGCGAGAATCTTCCGCTGTCGGAGCCTTGGCTCTGTTCAGTGGAGTGCCTCGGAAGACTGCTTGCTTTCGAGGTTTTCGCGCTGGCTTTTATACCGATTTCGGTGTGCTTTGGTGTTATTGTTGTACTTTCCAATTGCTTAACACATCTTGACACATACGTACATAAAACCAGTTTATTGGTCGCATATTATCTAAAATATCTTGTAAGATAATATACAACCAATAAACTGATTTTGTGTAATACACAAAACGTAACTGGAAAGCACCCATTGATTTTCGCAGTGGGGCGGCGGTGTTAACATTTGTTGGTCGCGTATTATATTTTCGTAACGAGCTGTTAGCTTTAAGGGTGCCGTCCCATTGAGCACGGATCGGAACGCCGGATCGGATTTCTTACTATAATGAGCGTTCCGTTCTCTAGTTCCGTTCCGTAAAAGTTTCCTCTATCAGTCCCATGTAGCAAAAACGGAACGGAATGGCGCGTCGGTCGCAAATAAATATGATTAATTCGTCAATATTTCGTTATTTTGACGTGACAGAATTAATTATATACATAATTTATGCAATTATCTTGCCGATAACATTGTCATGAATATTCTGAAATATTTAATTGAAGAGTGAAATATATTTTATAACTAGAAATCCGTTCCGTTTTTGCTACATGGGACTGGTAGAGGAAACTTTTACGGAACGGAACTAGAGAACGGAACGCTCATTATAGTAAGAAATCCGATCCGGCGTTCCGATCCGTGCTCAATGGGACGGCACCCTAAGTTTGTCTATGTTTTGTTCCTGTGCTCGGACGGATTGTTACAGCCTTATATTACATGAAGCATATTTTGAGCGGAAAAGTGGTATGGAGAATTATAAAATATTAATTTTTAACGGTATTTATTAATTAAAATTCTTGTATTTAACAGATAAGCTGAAAAGATAAACATATTAGTAAAAATTGCAGTAAATTAAGTTAATACAATTTAAAAAAATGAATACAGATGTTTATTTGTCATCAAACCGTTCCGCTTTTCCGCGCAAATTGTGCTCCATGTAATTAAGGAAAAATAAAGTCGCGGAACAAGCGCGGAAAAATCCATTGTCACAAAGTAAAAAAAAGTCAAATTGTCACAAGTTATCACAAGTTATTCAACCTAACCGCCGTTACATTAAGACGTGTTCAAACACGTTCGGACCTAATATTTTTGTGGAATTCATACCTTGGTATCTTGCATGAAAAGACAATAGAGAAAAGTTTTGGGCCTTCCACTTTTCCGCTTTTTCAACGTACGGGAAGAAATGATTCAATTCGCGGAACGTGGGAATCTAGTAAGATTTTATCTTCCGCGTTTCCGCGTTTTCGCGCTTCATATAATGGCACCCTTAAGCAGTAAAACTTAAACAGTAAGCAAATTGACCAATAAAGCGTCGTCTACAATGCGGAGTAAGCTTGGAGTAAGAAGTAAACCGTAAGAATTATTATAAAAATAATCGTCTATGATTGGTTAATTCTTACGGTTTACTGTTTACTCTAAGCTTACTCCGCATATTGTTGACGACGCTTCACAGTCATTGATTCTTCTTAAGGGACGTCTACATTGGAAGTAAGCAGTAAGAAGTAGGAAGTAAGAATAAGAAATTGACCAATCATAGTTGATTATTCTTCTCACATTCGACTGTGGTTGGTCAATTTTTTACTCTTAGTTCTTACTTCTTACTACTTTCTTCCAATGTAGACGTCCCTTAAGTTTTTCTATGTGCCACGGCCCTTATTGCTTTACAAATGGCCAACCATAAGAAGTTATTCTTTTCAGCGGATTTCCTTTCAATTGAGGGACACGAATCAAAACCACTTTTGTTATATGGAGTTCGACCTCCTTCTCTCTTATTTCATGACTATGGCCGGTATTCATAGTCGAATCTTATTTTAAGACCGTCTTAAGTAATGTCTTAAGATGCGAATACAGCTCTGTGATTGGTTCATGACATCTTAAAACACTACTTAAGATGAACTTAAATATAAGATCGGACTATGAATACTGGCCTATAACCATACTGAAAGGCAGGATTGGGCAAATAAAATACTTGATGTAAATTACATAATTTTATGGCTCCTGCACACAGGACGGAGTAATGATTGCCGCGCGGCGGAAGTCCGCGCGACAGCCAATTAATATGTTGTTTTTCCGTAAGAGCTAGAAGGTTATTACGGAAAACAACATATTGATTGGCTGTCGCGCGAACTTTCACCGCGCGGCAAGCATTACCACATCATGTGTGCAGGAGCTATTAGACATGTAAAATACTAGGTATTTTACGTCCTTAGTTTTTTACTGTAAAATACGTCAATGCTGTATGCGTCTCTTCAGACCATTGCTGAAACTTCATGCCATTTGTTGTCATATGTGATGGTTAAGGGTAAATTCATATCTTGACAGAAAAGCAGAAAACAGGAAAGCCAATCAGAACCATGATTTTTTTGAAACATGTCTCGGCATTTTCCGAGGGTTCCCCTCATATTATTAGTTGGTGAAAGGGCCAAAGAAGGTCTGGAACCATATAGAGAAAGAGAAAGAAAGAGAGAGAAAGAAGAAAAGAAAGAAAAAGAAAGAAAGAAACCAGATTAATGTTATCGTGTAAACGCGTATAGTCGTACCGATATTAATTGGCTGTCGCAAGAATTTCCGCCGCGCGGCAAGCATTACCGCGTCCTATGTGCAGGAGCCATTACGGTTATGAATTTTCACTTGCGTTGCTCTATATTATGGCTGCGTTCCGAAATTCTCTCTCACTACTGAAAATCTGTAGTTCATGTTACGTATACTATAGAATTTCAGTACTGGCAGTGAATTTCGGAACGCAGCCTATATGTGTTGGAAATTTACGGAATTACAGTTACAATTAAAGGCCTTAAGATCTTTGTGTTTTCAAATAATATTCCAAGAGCGAATGAAACATAACGAATCAGATATGTTATTTCATGAAAAGTAGCCGTAATCACTTCGTTGTAAATCAACAGTACGAACGAACGTAACAAAGCTAAAGTATCTAGTTCGTATTCGTTAATTAATGATAAAAGTACGCTTGTTTTACGGTGGGAAGTCGCGGAAAATGTCTTGCATTGTCTCTCGCACGTGATAACGTAGAGTTTCTCTTGTGATTTGGTACAACTATACGGGCTCACGATCGAGTTGCGTGTCCACGAGACGGACGTTATTTGAATCGGCATTCCTCGTGCCTGGCTCATATCTCGTTTTCTGTAAACATGGTGTTTGAGCTCGTTGGAATAATTGTTTTTTTCCACGAGATCGATTAGTGGGCACAGATTTTGCGAATAACATAGCGGCCACGCGCGATTTCCCACGGAACCGGTGTATTATGTGATATCACCGGAACAGAGAGAAAAGTATGGACACATATTTGCTGCACGGTAAGCTGGCCGATCTGCCATTAGGCGTTTGTAAATTGACGTTATGAAAATATTTGTTCGTAACGAATGAGATTATCGTGCTTCATTAGCGGCACTGGTGCGCCGTTCGGCTGCTTTCGCGGCCGAACACGAAATCAAGCGGATTTATCCTGAGCCTTGGTTGTCTGTCGTCTACGAACTTATCGGGGAATATTTGAATTGTGCGTGTTTTTTTCCAATATCCTTATATCTGATTGTAGCTCGCGTTACTATTTGAGAAGCTGTAGCTTCGATATAGATCGTCGAGCGGGACTATTGTGGGACGATTGTGGGACTAATAAGTCGAGTATTTGCGCGGGTATCTGTACAATGATCGTTGTTTATTAGGTTATGATAGTTTTTATATGTACACATACACACATTGGGTGCGTTCAGCGAACTCACAGTTGCACAACAGTTGGGCAATTTATCAATGTAATTGGTCTAGATTTAGGGATCTAACAGTAAGAACCAATAATCGCTGATTTCTAACTGAGTGCTTTTTCCACTGAACGCGCCCATTGTGTTGAGCACATTCAGTACAACTGTTTTCTGAGCAGTAAGCTCTTAAATCTACTTGATTGAGTTTAGGCCAACCAAAGAGAGAGAGAAACAGAAATCTACTTGACACAATCTTATATTTGATTAAGGTTTCAAAGTACAAATCAATTAGATCCAAAAGCTTACTGAATGTTTAATGAACAACTTCAGTACTGAATGCATTCATTAGATCTGTTGAAGAATTTCTAAATTAATGTAATAAATTAGAGAGTGAAACAAGCATACTTTCTTTCACTCTAACTTATTACACTAATGTATGCTAACTCAGAAGTTCTTCAAAAACAAGTAAACCTATAGTGTATATATAACATGAATTCATTATGAAATGATTTCTTTCTTTGTGAAACAGGAAGCTGTATGATTTAGCGATAGACTTTGGGCAACCTCAGGTATTTTATCATGGACCAGTCAGACACACCGCAGACACAAGTCCTCCAGTCTGAAGGATCAACCACTGATGTCGATGCACAAACAATCCATGTCACAGAGATTGTTCATCAGGAAGCAAAAGTTGCTACTACTATTGCTGCTACTGCTGTTTCTACTACTACTACTACTGCTACAACAACAACTACTACAGAAGATAGTCAAGATTTACAGAATGTGTGCAAGCTGCAACAGGGTTCCACCCCATCAGCGAACAATACTGATAGCAACGTAGAATCTAAGTTAGATGATTGTGTAGATGGGAGCAACAGTGATACACTCCCTGACAAAGTTCACAGCGACACGACTGGTCACTTGACGTGCGATTCACACAAATTGGATGGAAAAGTAGATACGTCAGAATCTATTGACATCTATGAGCATATAAAGGATGAAATTGTCGATCCCAATTACGAGTTGCAGTCCTTGTCCAATAAGGAAGACCAAAGCCTAAATGTGATAACTGAGTCTAAAGAAAAGAAAAAGGATGCGGTGCACATTGTAAACAATGTAATAGAAGACTCAAATCAATCCAATGCTGTAGATGAGCAGGTAGACAAGGCGTCGCTAGACAAATCTGTCAGCGACAATTCTGAGGTTCAGATTTGTCATGATGACGAATCGGTCGAGAAGAAGATCAAGGAGATACACGGGAACGACAGTAACCAGAATAGTTCAATAGTAACGAATGCTGAACTGACCAAATTAGTAAACAAAGAGACAGTAGTGTTAGAAGAGACTACACCGGTTGCGAGTGCGACTGCGGACAATTTTGTTATCAATGTAGGTGAGAAGAACGCTAGCAGTGCACACAACCAAGAGACTTTGTCCAGTCTGCAGGAAAAGAAGCCTGTGGCGGGATCCGGTCACGATACCAACGAGGCCACCAATCTAATCAACTATAGCCAAGAGAGCGGTGGTACTATAATAGAGGTGATCGCGACGAAAGGTATGCATAGTCCGGAGCAACAGCGGAATAGCGAGAACCACGCGAAGAGCAATAAGTGCGATATAGGAACTACGAAGCTAACCGACGGCGAAGTAGTGGCTAAAAAAAGTATCAAAGAAAAGGACAGTAGCAAAGGTCTGGTCAACTCAATTAGCAAAGAAGATAATGCGAATATGGAAACTACCGCTGTCATCACAGATAAGAAGATTATAAGCACGAAAGATGTCAGTCCAGAAACGACAAATCCACCGAGAGTTGAAAACGTTCATGAGTACGCCAACAAAGGAACCAACGACACTAAAGAGACAGACACGCCTGTAGCTGACTCGACGAAGAAGAGGAGCGTTATTCAAGACATTTTCGACGACTGGGGTGTCGAGAATACAGATGAGGACGCGCAGTCGACCTCGAAGGAGCACGATTCCGTGGAGATCGAACTGAAGAGTCTTTTGGATGAGCCGAAGTCGGATCAACCTGCAACCAACCCTCGCCCAGCTTCCGAGGAGGCGACTCCTCAAGCCAACAAAGAACGTGGTGCGGACAGTGTGCGTAGCGCGAACGCAACTGAGACAAATACAACGAAGAAATTGGCTGGACAGACGGAGAATCAAAAAAAGAGCAAGGCTGTCGTGAGTCGGGATGCGACGTCGTTAGACCGAAATGAGAAAGACCCAGCCGTGCCGGCGATCGGCAGATCTTTACGCACATTTAACGCGACGCCGCACACAGCGACTCATAAGAATCGTACCCGCCACTTAACAAGCCAAATAGCGTCGCCGGCGGAGGTGACGGAGGTGTTGAAAGAGCGTCTACGTGAGAAACAGAAGGTTGTCGTAGACGCGCCACGCACGCCCGATATATTCTTCGTGAAAAAACTGACCCAGAGATTATCCAGCAAATTGGCGGGCAATCCGATACCGTCACCGGCGAATCCGATGTCGTCACTGCCACAGCAACCTGCTGCATCTCTACCTTCTTCCACACCCGCGCCACTGACGGCGGAGAACTGTGATAAGAGCGCAACGACCGGGAACAATACGGCAACAGAAACTAGCAAGGACGGCAATTCCGACAGCAAGGAGTTGTTAGCAATTTTGGAAGGCGATGTCGATCCCGACTGGTCTATCTTAAAGCCTCCGACACTCACCGAGGAGGGTAAAACTTCGTCTAACGTAGAGCAATCCGATAACTCTATTGGTCCGCCAAAACTCGACCCGTTAATCGAGCGAGAAATGGCGTTGAAGCAACTCCTCGAGTTGCCCGTAGCGTCGTCCAAGAAGAACGTAACGCGAAAGAAGAAAACGTTCAAACCAGCCCCAGGCAAAGCTTCTAGGGACTCCGGCACAAAGAATCCGGTCGTTTCACAGGATCAAAAGAAGGTCATCGATATCGATCTGCCAAACCAGAACGCGTGCACAGATGTGGAAGATATTGGAATCGATTTGGATTCACCATCTCGCGAGCAAAACAGCAGTTTGAAAGATCAGGACGTCGAACAGATAAATCCAGCATCACGTACCGAGGAGTCAAGAGCGGGCAGGAAGCGCAAGCTCACCGAGAAAGCGAGAGAGCACGAACACCAAACCACGATCAAGCGGCAGAAGGTATACAAAGGTAAAGTCTCAATTAACAAGAAGCAAGATACTAACGTCGCATCCAACGATGACTCGACGAATGACAGTCTTATTGTGGCGAGCACCACACCGGAGATCGACCTTGAAAATCACGAAGAAGAAGTGGAGAACAAGCAGTTGGAGGACAAGGCGGAGCCGACTCTAAACAAGCTCGAAAACTCGCCCCTGAAACGGCCGAAGCAAAGTCTCACCAAAAAGGGCTCGCAGCCGATCACCAAAAGAAAAGTGGTGGTGAAGAAATTGCTACGCCAGAAAATATCGCCCAACAAGAAGACTGTCAAGCTGAAAGCCAAACTGAACACGTCGCCAAAGAAGTCTCCAACCAAGGTGATCCCGAAGACGCAGCCGAAACGAGCGGCCGAAAACTCACCCGGCGATGCGAAGCCCAAGAAGAAGAATATCAATGAGATTGATAGGTTGCTTCAGGACGAGGGTGTCGTTAATCTTCTGTACGACGTGGAGCAACCGGACAAGAAACGCCTGGTTCCGATCACGAAGTCTCGGGCGAAAGTAATGGACCTACAGAAGGTGCAGCGCGAGCTAAAGATTCGGAAGAAATTGGTACGCAACGCTGTACTGCGATTGCGTACTTCATCCGGCAGCGTCACAAAGGTGTCGCCGAGGTCGAAGAGGACGGCGGGTCATCCGAGCGACGCTACGACTGACAAGAAACAAGTGGAACAAGTGGCGTCGCAGAAGACTCCGAATGCCACAACACCCACGGAGTTTATCCTACCGGCGAAAATCAGAAACGCCGCTGACGCATCTATCATCGTTAGGAGGCACTCGTCGAGTTCGTTCTCGAGCGCATCCGGAAGCCCCAGAGTCAGCGTCGATACACCGGATAAGTCTGTTGCAGAGACCGCCAAGTTGGACGACAGCACGATCCACTCGTTGAGATCCGCGAAAAGACGGCACTCACAAGACGAGAAGATTAACGTGAAAAAAAGCAAAAAGAAAGCGGAGAAGTCTGAAGCGACTGATACCACTGCTACCAGCACTAGTATCGCCGCTGCTAGTGTCACCACGTCCACTACTACAACCACCACAACCACGACCAACGCCACCGCTAATATTGCAGAGGAGAAAGCTATTGCAGCTGTGCGTCCGAGTAAGAAATCGGAAATCAAAAAGGTCGACAAAGCTGCCAAGCAACAGGAACATATCCCCGCGCTCGAGAATAGCGTCACTTCCAGCAAGGTCACGACGAGATCAAATGGCGCAGCAACTGGGAAGATAACAGCGAAGAACAAGAAAGCCGTCAAGAGCAAAGTGAGCTTCGTCAAGCCAAGTGAAGCCGAAAGTTCTCTGGACTCTTCCAAGGAGGAGGCCGAATTGTCAGCTTGTCTCGCTGAAGCGGCTACCGCTCTTGCAATCGTCAATGCTGGTCGGTCCGGGAATAATGCTAACACACGAAAGAACAAAGGTAAAGGTAAAATGTCACAAGATTCGTTTACGACCGATATTAATACTCGTGATTACGTGTGATTGTTAAACTGATTACAATTAGTCAGTTGAGTGTATGTGTGTGTATGTGCGCGCGTGTGTGTATGTTACGTATGTGTATATGTGTGGTAATGCAATACACATACTGAGTACCATAAAATATTCCAGTAAATACAACTGTCGTGAAAATGTTGGAATTAGGTAATACCAAAACCGAGGCACCAGGTCAATTCCGCAATAAGGAGATCAATGTACGACGGCACGGTAATCTTGTGCAACTAATACTTACACCATCCTCATCGACGAGAGTAAGAAACGCTCTGACGTTGCAAGTAAGAACATAGTCAATCCTCTTTTCTCAATATTTCAGAAAAACATAAATTATTATACCTAAATATACTATCATTTTAAGATGTGCATTAATAGTATTAATTATTTTCAATTAATAATATAGATATTTTATACTTGTTTCAATGTAATTTAGATAATTATCAAATTCAAATAATTATCAAATTGAGAGGTAAATAATAGTAAACGTTACATGTCTGTACTTTACGGCTTCATGGAAGATATTCCCTCGCGTTTAGATATTTCCACACATATTTATACATATTATTTTTAACACTATTAGGTGATGCAGGAGTTCAAAGAGGCACTCTTGATACTAAATAGAGACGAAAAATGCAGAGTAGTATTACTGACTTCTACAGGTACTAGTTTTTGCGAAGGTCTCGAATTGTCGACGTTATTACGTGCGAATAAAGAAGAACGACGGTCTGTCGCACAAGAATTAGCGACCGCTGTCAAGTATGTATTTTGGCAGTGCCAACACGATCACTAGATATCGCAGTTTATTGGACCTGCTGTTTCTCGTTCCAGGGACTTCATCAAAAGCTTAGCTACATTTAATAAACCTATAGTAGCTGGCGTGCAGGGGGCTGCAATTGGACTCGGTGTGACAATGTTACCTCTTTTCGATCTCGTAATTGCCAGTGATAAGGCGACATTCTGTACTCCTTACGCGAAGTTAGGCCAAATCGCCGAAGGAGCCGCTGTTTATACTCTTTCTCATATCCTGGGCAGCCCAGTAGTAAGTCTTATTCTTGTAATGTACATTCAATGAGAATTCACGGGGAATTAACGAGCATTTCCGTTTCGACAGACAAGCGAGCTTCTCTTGGGTGGAAGAACTCTGACAGCTAGCGAGGCGTTGCGAGCGGGTCTTGTTACTCGAGTTCTGTGGCCTGACCGTTTTCAAGTAGAATTATTACCATCGTTACGGGCCATGGGTGAGCAATCGTCACAGGTGAGTTACGTATAGAAATGTCTTTTGATTGTAAGTTTTTTTTAACAAGGATTCGCCCAAGTTTGCATTTATTATCGTGGATACATTCTCGCCAGTATTTATGGCTGTTGGCTGCTCGCCACGGATCTTTCGATTGACGACGTCAGAGGCAAGAAAATATACGATAAAAATTCTTGCAAAATATGTTGGAGTAAAAACGTATACCCATAAAATGACACGTTTGCAAAATAGTCTGAACGTGTGTTTTCCGTTTGCTCTAACAAACAATGAATTGCCGTAAAATTAACGTAACACAACCTACCCTCTCAACTTATGTTTCTTCATGATTTTGTCATGTTCATTTTATAGTTTATTTATTGTTAGAAGAAAAGAAAAGAAAATTTTCGAACTATTCTATATATCTTCGATTGATTTGATTGTGTCATTTTATGAATACATCTTTTTATTTCTATGTGTCTTGCACGAATATTTAGCATGTATCTTCTCGCTTCTGACGTCATCGTCGGCGAGGAGCCAGGAGCCTTATGTTACTTTGCATTACTTCGCATATAATTACATATGTTATAAGTTATCAGGCACATTCAACAGCGTTTCGTTTTGATTTATTGAATCTTGTATTGATGCCTTTACGAGCGGTAGCAGTAAGCCATGTAAGCGGGGCCTGAGTAAAGTAACTCCTGCACGTTTACTTTTATCTTATCCTTGAAAATGCACAAATGCTTCTCCGGGCATGTGCATCTATAATATGTCGAGTACAGGTCAGCTCGAATGTAGCCGCAAAAGTCCAAAGTCTCACACCTTCTCTTCTGCATTAAATCGTAACATAAAAATCCAATATATATGTACATACATTTGCATTACTATCTCAGTATTGTACTCTACAAAATACTGCAATTTTTTCACTGTGCATCATGATATACGCAGGACATACCTTGACACACCTAAACACTTGAACAAGACCGTATTGCTCATACGTATATTGTTGTAACTTCCAGTAATGTGTCTGCGGACACTTGCAATTCACCGTTGCGTTATATGGTATTATGTAACTGTTGCTCGTATTGCCTTCTCCGTGCACTATCACCGCGTCCTGTTTGTGCGCGCACGTTTCCAGCTCCACTATCTGTGTACAGAACTGTTAAGAAACGTGACTCATTAGAGATATATCAAAGACTACGTTGAAGTGTGTCAAGCGTTTTCGAAATTGCCTTGATCGAAAGAGTCTTTCGGTACCTTCAGAACCGATCTGTTATTGAGTATTGCGGATGAACTGTCCAGAGTTTTCGTCCACTGCCACGGACATTCCCTTCCATCGGTACAACGGCACAGTCTTTCCGTCAAACCGGACATCCAAAACCGGTTGTGGACCACGTTGCATACCTCGTGAGATTCACAAAGATGTAAATCACTCTCCCCCTGAACCTGTTTCAACGAGTTCAACGGACCTTCGTCATACTGTCACACACTTGCCAGAATTATTAAGTATTGTTACGCGATATAATTTCGTATATACGAACTCCTTTCATATACTTGAACGTAACATTGTTAGCCTTACTGCTGATTGTCGTATACACGCTGACAACCGCGTTTATCGCGGAGATGAACAAACAAATTCTGATAAACATACTCGCAACTTTACTTTAAGCGCGTTAGATTCGACTGCCACTAGCGAGGGATAGATATTAACGCAAATAGAATTGCTGATACATTCCCGATTCCACGTTTGCTCCCACATGACTCAATTGCGCACCCACATGACGTAAATTACGAAACTTATTAATATTTATGACACTAAATGTATGACGTTATCTTCGGCTTTGTTCGTGCAGTGTGCAGAGGTGTTATAACACATAGTAAATCAAAATGTTGCGAAAAAAATAATCTTTTTTTTTTTTTGTAAAAATCGTTTTTCTCCCACAGTCTATGGAGGCAACCAAGGCTCTACTACGTCATAGCCTACGAAAAAAATTAGACGCCGCTCTTGAGTCGGAAACATACTTGTTGACTCAGCAATGGTGTTCCGCCGAGTGTCAGACTGCTATAAAAGCTTATATTGATGGAAAGATTCAATAAACGATGGTAAGTATTTCTGATTCGTTCTAAACGGATCGCGAGGTGCAATATCTGTCGATGTATTACGCTTATTTATCGCGCATATATATATTAATTTCAGTGCAACTACTATCAATATATTGTGAACCAGAAATCTGTGTTAGAAATCGGAAATGACGATTTGTGAATAATACAAATATATATGTAAGGTCAAAAAAAATATACTTCTGGTGTAACATTCTACGTCAACGCACGATATTTTAGATATAAGATATTGAATCACTCTCAAAACAGATGGACTATTTTACTATTAGAGATCATTTAGATATAAATTTATTATATATGAAAATATAAATATATACAGAAATTTTTCCGTAGTATGTTATTGTTAGATTAAAATAAAAGTACATTCTGTATTGATTGTAACTGTATCTTCGATGATTACTAAGTTAAGTGGCTTGCAAAAGTTTTGCAATATTTCGGCAAAATGTCAATTCTAAATAAATATGCGCCACTCTTTTGGTTTGTAATAAGGTGTACGATTTTGTAAACGGCCTCGTAAAAAGTGTTCGAAAGAAAGAGGATCCAAAAGTTGAGTTTTAATATATCATAACTTCTATATGATAATTTTTAATTTTTATATAGTGATTCTATATATATATATATATATATATACATATATGTGTGATAAATATGATAACTCTAAGTAAGATTATAACGTTCCGTGGTAATTTAGTAAAAGTCAGGGTCAATAAGAACCATTGAAAACAAAACAACTATTTAATTGTGGTGTATCCAGGAAGGAGTTCAGATGTTATATTAGCGAACTTCACTGCTCAAATGTCAAAAAAGAAAACATTCATCTACTAATTCTTCCATGTAAAGCGGATATTTGTACGGGTGACATATTTTTGTAAAATTAACAAGTATCTATCAAAAAAAAAAAAAAAAAAAAATGGCAACAGCGTCGCAGATGCCATGTACGTTCGAGTTTTCCAGAGGCAATGGCACCGGTGTAGCGGAAGCGATCGGAAATTGGGGTTTCTCTAACAAAACGTGTACCGCCGGCCATGAATTACAACGTTTAAAATGTCTCTTCGCAAAAATGGATTATTTGTGAGAAATAAGCTTTAATTTCACTTTTCTGTTAAAAACTCACTACATTATATACGTATTCTCTGTGACATGAAATAAAATCAAATCAACAGTTTACATTTTTTCTGTCATTAAAGAATTCTGCCATGTTAATCCGTGTTGCCATGTAAAATATCGTAAGGAATAAGGAAATCGCGTTGATCAATTTCAGACGCAAACCGTCCGTTAAACCATTGTGCGTCAAGTACGATTGCAGATACGATCCCGAGGCTTGGCATGTTAAGCCTAGCCCCGAGGAATGCAAGCCAGCATGGACGTTTCCTATAAACAGGCCTCTAATTACTTATTCCTCCACCGCCACGATTATAAAGCTCTCCAATCTGACTAATATCGGAACAGACTTAGATTACGTTGTACCAGGTCGCAGTTATGTTAAACAAGGCGTACGTACACGTTCTCGCTATTGATACATATCAATTGTACATTCTCTCAGGTGAGAGAGAAAGTATATCATTATATTGTTATACCATTATACACATTATATCTGCTTTTAGACGTCAAAATGGTACCAACGTGTTCCAGATGTTTGCTGTCAACCTAGTTGTTTAGCTCCACAATGTCCTGTACCGTGTTGTCAAAAATATTGTTAGTAATTAGTCGACGGATTCGTTAAACAGAATATTTCCCATATCCTTTTTTCTCTATAAATCTCAATGTTGATTAATTATCTTCACTAATTACGATCGTTTATCCATTTCGTCATGCTATGTACAAAAAAAGAAATAACAAGGAAATACAAGGATACAAGTGATGGTGCAATTAATAAATTATTGGTTCAAGTTTTCGAGAGTAGTGAGGTCGTTCAATTTATTTCTCGTTTTAACAAACACAGTGTTCCGAACCTTTGCGCATTGCGTGAGAACAATTATGTTAATTGTATGGTGGGGCGGCAAGTGATTTAACTGACTGACACTGCAAGATTTTCACTCTGCATCGTGTACATATCGATAAATGCAGTATCTCTAAATACACTAGCGTTACAACAATGTACACTAAATCTGAATCTCTTAAGTAGAAACTGATCTCTAAAAGTAGCGGTTTGCACGATTCTAAATAGAGGAGCTCTGTGCTGCCATCGTTGATAACTATGCACGAAGAAACGTTTTCTCCTGCACGATTCTTATGTACAAAAAAATATATATATAAAACTGAATCGATATTAGACAAGTCTCAATGGTACAATATAAATATGAAAAATGTATGAAGTGACAGACGATTTTGCGCGAGTCAATAACATATATGTTGCGCGAATTATTAAAAATATACTTACCGTACCTTAAGCAAGTAATATACACATGGTAATATGTAAATTAAGACTAGATAGAATATCAGAGACCTTATCTACTTCTACAGCCAATACAGATCGAGTGTGATCGAAAGTACAACTCATAAGCTAGTTGTCTTAACGTAGTAGTAACACGCGGCACAATGACTGCTGAAAGCGTACTGGCAAGAAGAAGAGAGCACATTGCATCCGCTGACGTTGATTCTGTTTTTGCTTTTTCTTTTCTTTTCTTGTTTTTTAACGCATCTTGCCCTAAGTCGGACATAACACTGAAATCGTGATAATACACTAGTTAGCGTTTCTCAAAAGATATTAACCAAGAATTAGCGATGTTGGTAATTTTACATTTTTAAATCGAAAGATTGTCGAACTTTGAATAGCATTCGATTGTTAGTTTGAAGATTAACTTGATTAGAAAGTAAGTTTGACATATAAACATTCGACATGTCTAAAAAAGTTCCAAGGTGCAAGTTCATATTCTTAAAGTAAACGAATAATAAAGTATAAATCTGATTTGAAAATCTGTGCTGGATTCTGTAACTCGTTATTGAAGTTAACGACAGTTTCGTTATCGTTGTGCAGCTTTTTTACAGTATACAAAAGCTGCGCAACGATAACGAAACTATCGTTAACTCCAATAACGAGTTACAGAATTCCAGCACTGGTTCGCGGATCTCATTACCTTTGAGTATATAATCCGTCAGCAAAGTGGGTACAGTTGGGCTATCCTCGCTAATGGCTTTTAGTACTACAAATAAAGTCATTATTAATAAAAGTATGTACGTTTAAGGCTCCTGGGGAGTCGCATCATCCATCTCTTTTTAATGACGTCAGAAGCGAGAAAACGCATGCTAAAAATTCCTGCAAAATACGTCGAGATAAACAGATATATCCACAAAACGACATTTGCGATCGATTAAGTACACCTCTAAAATACTCCGTACACTTTCCTTTTGTTCTAA